CCAGGATGTAGCCAATCAATGATTCTCTCCCTCTCTCTTCCTCTCTAAAATCAATAAGAATATATCAAAAAGAAAGAAAGAAAGAAAATATCTTCATCTTCCAGACAGGTAGATTGGAATATTTAGAGAGAAGATGTCGTGATATCTGAGTTTAGTTTAAAATACTCTAGAAAACAGGAAAATTAAGCAGCAAATGTGGAAAATGCTTTGTCATTGTTAAATGTAGAGAGTATGTTTGTTTTACCACACCTCTAACTTTTTAAAATGATTTTAAAAACAAGATGAAAAGTAAAAAGCTAAAATAAAAAATTCAATGAATAAATGAGAACAGATGAGAGAAGAAACCATTCCTATATTAGAGGTTTCTTTTGTTCTATCCTATAATGACTTTTTGGCATATTACACTATAGCTTCCAATGTTAAAAATAGCAATATATATATATATATATATATATATATATATATACACACACACATATATATATGTGCTACAAAGAAGATAAAGGTGAGGAAATAAGCTCAAGAATTCAGTTACTTAAAATAATAGTTTTCTAATAACTTACTAAGGCTTTTAGAGGTCATTGCTTATATTGACTGTTTATTAATCATCAAGTCATTGAGGAACATAAAAAAGAGAAAAAGGTATGAAGGCTGTGGGGTAAGTGAAAGGAAATTAAGTCAACACAATAGGAACTCCAGTTCAGGCTGGAGCGCCCCTGCTTCCTGTACACGCTGCGGGCAGGCCATTGACCCTCCCAGTCAGTCTTCTCAGCTGTAAAATGGGAGTCACTGGAGCTCCTGCCCCCCAGCAAGCTGCTCCTGGCGTAAAGGAAGCAACCACGGTCCCTCCTGTTGCCTGTCCTCCTGTGCACAGGCCCAGGGGCTGGGGGAAGGGTCTGAGGGCATGAGCGTGTGTGGGAAAATGGAGGCTGGCTAGCTTCTCACAGAAATCACTAATTAGCCAACAAGCACTGCCCTGCTGGGGCCCAGCCGGGACTGTGAAGTCAGCCAAAGCTTCCATTACTGCCTGGAACCCTCCAGCTGTCCCAGAATTGTTTACTTAAAGCCCCCTCAGAGGTCTGCTCCTCAGCTCTGTCTCTCACTCCATTTGGGCCCAACGCTCAGGGTAGCTAATCTAATCAGCTAATCTATGCTAAATTATTAATGGATTCAAGAGGTTAATGTGTAACAAGCCTCCCCTCCAACTGAGGCATGCTGGAGACACAGTCCCTGGTGACTCATTAGTCTGGGTGGGAATTCCAGGCACCAGGCAGCCCCCCCCTCACATCAAATCAAATTCTGGGAAGGCATTTAAAAATTCCTACAGAAAAGGTAATTCATATGTGAATACAATGGAATCAACAGAGGGATCGGCCAAAGAATCCTCTAAGGCAGTGGTTCTCAACCTTCCTAATGCCGCAACCCTTTAATACAGTTCCTCATGTTGTAGTGACCCCCAACCATAAAATTATTTTCGCTGCTACTTCATAACTGTAATTTTGCTACTGTTGTGAATCGTAATGTAAATATCTGATATGCAGGATGTATTTTCATTGTTACAAATTGAACATAATTAAAGCATAGTGATTCATCACAAAAACAATATGTAATTATATATGTGTTTTCGGATGGTTTTAGGTGACCCCTGTGAAAGGGTCGTTCGACCCCCAAAGGGGTTGCGACCTACAGGTTGAGAACCGCTGCTCTAAGGAGACCAGGACAAAGGCTATGTTTATGAGCTTTGTATGGACTTCTCTGTGTCTCTATTTTCCCAACTGCAAAATCAATCCAGGCGGAGGGAAGGATTAAAACATATAATCCACATAAAACATGGGTAAGAGTGCCTGCCACACGACGCGTGCTCAGCAAATGTCAGCCATTGTTAGTGTCATTTAGGGATTAGATTAGATGGAAGTCAAAAAGGATGTTCTGAAATCTTAAGTAAAAAAGCATTTTTCAAAGGTAGCTTCTTCCATTGTTTTCAAGATAATCTGGTCCACAGTGGACCACACTGGGATCCGCCCCGGGCTCAAGTCAGCCCACTTCCTACCAGCTGTGTGACTTTAGTGCTGTCATTTTCTCAACTATAAAATAAGGATAATAATACCTACGTTGCAGTGTTGATGAATGAATTACATATGATAACGTATGGAACATGGGTAGCACTGAGACCCCACATGCGCATACTATGAGACCAACAAATGATGACTTTAATTATCATCTTAATATTTTTCCGCGTTTATGATCATACCCTTGGGAGCCTAACCAAAAACTGACGGTACGTTCTAATGTGGTGACAGGTCCGCAATCCCTAATGGAGACTAAACCATGGCCATCCCCAGGTCAGTCCAATGGGTACCAGGAATTTAGTGAGGTGGAGAGGGACCCTCAGCTCTGACCAGCCCAGTGCTCCAAAGAAGTAGCTACAAAGCAGGATTTCTGTCTGTGTGGTATCGAAACTCTCTCATTCCCAAAAAGAAAAAGAAAAAGCAAGGAAGCGAGCATAGGATCTTGGCTTGGCTGTTGGTCCCTGGTGACAAGTGCTATGGGGCTACACAATAACTACATGCCCCCATCCCCATTTCTTTTCAAACTCCGTTTTCTGATTATGAAACTGCTACAGAATCATGGCAAAAATATAAGAACATAAAAGACTGCCTCTGTTCCTGCCAAACAGAAATAATTCCTTTTGATATGTCCATGCATATTGCTTCAGATTTTTTCTCTATACCCCCATGCACCCACACACACTTCATTATTTAAGAAAATGAAATCATACCATATACACTGAATCATCACTGCCTGTTCACATACTATACATATTTCTGTGTTTGTTAACATACATCTCTGCCATCATTTTTAATAGCTGCATAGGAATCCATCAAATGCATACCTCACCCCCCACCACCCCTGGGCACTCAGGTTGTTTCCAGCGTTTTTCTATAATAAACAACACTGTACTGAGTATTCTCCCATAAATACCTTTACACAATTGTCCAATTATTTCCACAGAAGTGGCATTGGTGGATTAATAAGTGTATAATTCCTAAATGCCTTAAGAAGCAAAAACAGCTGGCCTTGCTGAGATGGGAGGGTGAGAGAGGCATTTTAGCAACAGATAAACACTGTCTTCTCCGCCCAGGCAAACAAGACAATCCTTTTCCTGTTGGCCCACTCTCTGCCTTTCACTCACCTATCAGAAAGTATGTCTCGCTGATAAGGACAACTACATCCCCTTGTGCAAAGTTCAGGGTCAAATAGAGAGTGTCCATGTGACAGAACCTGGGGTTTCATCTGGAAATGCAAAGGGAAGGATGGGCAGAAAGGGGCTTACAAAATAGCAAAGGTTCCTGAATGGCTCCATGGGCAGGCCACTTGGTTACTCTTGGTTACCACTCAGTGATCTGGGGGAGGCGGGGGGGGGGGGGGGCATCCCTGAATCTAAATGGATTGATATTTACTGAGAGGATGTTTTCCTCTCTGGCCAGAGGGTCTTCCCCCCACCTATTTTCACTCCCTGTGCGAAGGCTACCTGGTTTCGGAGGTTGCCATGACCTGCTGGCCCAACTCTCTAATGGCAGCTGGCAACTGTGCCATACTCCAAAGTTCTTTCCAACTACTGTGAGCCCCTGCATCTGAGCTGAAAGGAGGGGTGCAGGAGCAGCTGGAGGAGAGAAGCCAGAGTGGCGAGTTCAGCAGCAACCTTTGGAGGAACAGTCAAAGCTGCTGGAATGAAGGAAGGGCCCACCACACTGGTCACTGACAAGCCAAAGTCAGAAGGAAAAATAAACGCTGGCCGTGGTGATCTGAAATGTGACCCTTAAAGGCCCCAAAGCAACAATGCCCAGAACCAAATAAGCTTTTGTGAAAAAGTAAGCCATCTTCCACTGTCCTCAATATTCACCTTTTTAGATACCCTCTTCTTTATGTTTAAACAAGATTTGACAATGACTTGTCCTCTAGCCCAGAAAATCAATCCAAAGTCCATTGACTTGGGTAGTTAATTTAAAAATAAACCTTGAGGGTATTTTGAAAGGCATTATTAAGTCTTCTCCTTCTCTCTCTCCTCTCTCTCTCTTCTCTCTCTCTCTCTCTCTCTCTCTCTCTCTCTCTCTCTCCTTCTCTCTCTCTCTCTCTCTCTCTCTCTCTCTCTCTCTCTCTCTCTCTCTCTCACACACACACACACACACACACACACGCACCGAGAAAATGAACCATGGAATAAGACAGGCAAACAAAGGTTTTCCTTATGGTCTAGCTGTGAGATCGTCAGTGGGGTCATGGGGTCATCTCTGAAAGCCTCAGCATCTCTGCCAGGTCCAGTGGCGGGGAGAATGCTGCCCAGCTCACCGGCAGCAGGCAGCCTCAGTGCACCTGGCCAGGATCCAGCTGTGGGCACAGATGCATCTGAGAGAAACCCGACCTTGCAACCCACACTTCCAGTCACATATTCCAGAAGCCACAGAACATGAGCTAAACTGAAGCGGATAGGAAAAATCCCATGAAACACAGTTTTTGAGTTACATTTGTAACCTTACATGATAAAATAAAGAAATAGAAAACAAGAAACATAAGCAATTGCTGACTGAAGATATGGCTCTAATAGCCTAAGACAGTGGTCGCCAACCGGTGGTCCACAGACCACTGGTAATCCGTGAGGTCCAAAAGCTTGGCGACCACTGGCCTAGGACATTACTAAGCTTAGTCATATTAGCAACTTCAACAAAAGAGGCAGCTCTGCCCAGAGTGGGCTTGGAGTCACTGCTGTTGGAGTTTGAATCCTGGCCTTGTCACTTACTAGCTGTGCCACCTGGGACAAGGTGCTAAGGATCTTTTTCGCTTTCACATCTGTACAATGGGGATATTCCGACCTCACTGGAAGATCAAATAAAAGCCAATGGCCATGGTAGTGCTTTTAGCCTATGAAAGAGCTACATGTCTGCAGCAGGGCAATGACCCATCACAGGGGTGGGATCTCTGCTGAAGGAAGACACGAATACCTGAGGTGTCGCACGCGTGCCTTTCTGTGGAGGGCTCTTCATGGGCGGTGCTGAGCCTGTAGATAACGTGGGGTTTGTTTTGTTCATCTTCATCTTCTGGTTCATCCACGGACAGCAGCGGCTCAATAAAATAATCCCCATCCTGGGACCGGAATGTGCCCAGCTGCAAAGGAAGAGATGAGAGGTTGATTTCATAAAGATGAAACATTTGAAAGTGGAGACGGTGCCATTTGACCCAATCCCTTTGTCATGAGGGCTGCTTAACCCGAAAATGCTGCGGACACACTTGGAGAGCGATTTATTTTCATCCTCAGCCATACCAGTACCTTCTCCTTGACTTGACACTATTGTTCCTGCTCACCAAATCCGACTCTAAGGAATACTTCCTTGGCGCTCAAGTTCTAATCACATATTCCCTTCTCCAGGCTGTTGACAGACAGTGTTTCTCTGTGTGAAGACAGCTGGAAATTGAGGGACCCGTGTGATCTCTGAGAGAAAAGCTGACCCTCGGAAGCATTATCATGACTTCAAATTCAGGAAGCATATGTTGACCACAAGGCACTCAAGGTGGTTCCACCTGTGACACTAGCCCATGAGTCTCTCCCACCCTTTCTTTCCTACCCTTTGCAACAGGCAGTGATTCAGTACCAGGCTTTGGGGCCGGGCTGCCCAACACAGGTCCTAGTCCCAGCACAGCCTCTTACCCACCCATCTTGCCACCCATCTTGGGTAAGTTCCTTAAATGCTGAACCTCAGCTTCCTTGTTCGTCAATTAGGGATAAACTTACTATAAAGGATTATCCTGCAGATTAAATGAGATAATGCACTTAAGGTACTTAACACCTTGTAAGGGCTTAGAACATATTAGTGGCTTTTGGTGTTGTGGTGTTAGCCTCTAAGTGCCAGGATACAGTTGTGTTTGCCAATCATTCTAAGCACTTTGAAAGTGGCAACTCTTTCTCCTCTCCTTCTCACATACCCACAGTTTTGCAAATGATGAATGATGCCTCAAGGTTGACCCACCCAAACAAAACATGACAAGAGCATGAAAAAGTTCCCCATGTCGTGCAATGTGTTAGAGGAGTCAAACCCTTCTCTCATTTTCCATTGTTCCCTTTCCTGCACTGGGGGGGAGGGTTGGGGGAGGGGGGGGGAAGAAAAGGAGAAAAAGAAAAAGTAAAGGAAAAGCAGACCTTTCACCTTTCCCTGGACACAAGGGAAATGACTGTCCATAAAGGTTATAAGCATCATCCAGAAATTTGCTAGAAATTCAAATAATCACGCTCCACCCCAAATCTGATCCACTGAATCAAAATCTCAAGGCAGGGCAGGAGTTGGAATTTTAATGAGCACTCCATGGTATTCTTATGCACGATAAAGCTTGTGAAGCATTAGGCTAGGGCAGGTTCCAGACCTAGCTAAGATTCAAAATTGTTTGGGAAGTTTTTTAAAAATTCAGATTTGGGGCATTACCGCTTATCTGCAAATTGAATTTCCAGGGGTAAGGTCTAGCATCTATGTTTTTTAAAAAGTTCTCTACATGATTTAGGGGCCACTAGCTCAACGAGGGAACAGCACTGGTGTGCACAGAGCAGGCAAAAGAGTAGCTGGTTTTTGGCGAAGTGATTTAACAACTTTATTCTCACCCAGGCAGGTCTCTCTGTTTCCAATACTCAACTCTGGTGTTCTCTGAACACAGTGCAGGATATATACTACAATATGTAAAACCTACTAGAGACAAGCCGTAAGTACTGGGACAAGCCTGGGAGTTCATCTGGAGAGGGTCTGGCCCGTCTGGTGAAAAGGGAAGCCGAGGGAGAAAGTGGCTGGTCCGCAGTTGCCCTTTGGTGGACAGAGCAGCTGAACAGAGCCAGTGCTGAATCTAGAACTCAGATTTCCCAACTTCAGTCCAGTGCCTTTTTATTTTATCTTTACTGTTATTTTTAAATCTTCACCCAAGGACATGTTTTTATTGATGCTTAGAAAGAGAGAGTGAGAGAGAAAGAAACATGGATATGAGAGCGAAACATTGATCAGTTGCTTCCTGTATGCACCCCGACTAGGGATGGAGCCTGCAACCTAGGAATGCGCCCTGACCAGGGATCAAACCCACACCTTTTGGTGCATGGGGTGACGCTAGCCAGGGCAGTGCAGTACCTTTTTAAATTATATTCTCTTTAGGAATATGGATTCAGTCTCTGAGTGGCTAAATGCATGGGTCAGAAAGACTGGGTGGGAACCCCAGCTGTGCCACTTAGGAGTGTGAGACTTTGAGCAAGCGTCCAACTCTCAAAGCCTCACTGTCCCCATCTGTAAAATGAGTTGAGGATCGGATTGTGTGAGGGTTCTCTATGAGATGATGCATACATAAAGTACTCATTATAAGGCAAAGCACATAATGAGAGTTCAATAAATGGTACCCATATAGTGCCAAATTAATTTTGTTGTTGATTCACAAGTAGTTGCTTGATCTAAGAGTAATTCTTTCTTGGTCAAGGTGAACATTTATTCAAACATACAGGGTATCCTATATAATAAAACCCTAATATGCAAATCAACTGAACGGCAGAACGACCAGTCGCTATGACGTGCATTGAGCACCAGGGGGCAGACGCTCAATGCAGGAGCTGCCCCCTGGTGGTCAGTGGGCTCCCACAGGGGAGTGCCGCTCAACCAGAAGCCCGGCTCACAGCTGGTGAGCGCAGCTTCGGTGGCGGGAGCCTCTCCCGCCTCTGCTGCAGGCAGGCAGTAAGGAGTAAGGGGTCCTGGGCTGTGAGAGCCCTGGACTGCAAGAGGGCACAGGCCAGGCTGAGGGACCTCCCTCCCCCGTCCCCTGTGCGTGAATTTTGTGCACCGGGTCTCTAGTGCACCTATAATATCTAAGGCTCCAATATGGAAGCGAAATGAATTGATGTTGATCCTGCTGCCAAAGAGAAAGGGACAGAACATACCTACTGAGAACTATAATTATAATACAAGGGAGCAAACAGAAGAATCAATAGAGAAATACACATACACATATGCATCTATGAAGGTGAAGGGGGAGACATGGCAGCAGTCCATAGGACCAGGAACATGTTTCCTGGGGAGAAAGATATCTAAGTTACATTTAAGTTACACTTCAAAAGAAGGGCATGATTTGAGCATGTGAAGCTGGGTGAGATGAATAAATAAGTCTGGAGGCCCAAGGGCAATGAGGCAGGATTAGGATAGAAGGGAAATTCAGTAAAAGAAGCAAAAGCAGGTTGCCTGAAATACAGGCCTTCTCGAGGAAAGCTTGAGAGATGCCCTGGACCTGCCGGCCTGAGAGGGGTGAGAAGCACTGCAAATGGTCTCAAGGGCCAGATGGAGTTCACAGTTGTGACAGGGCATGCGCTCTGCAGAGCTGGTGAGCCGGGAACCATGTGGCCTTGCATCCGGGGATCATTCATTTGTTAGTGGTAGAGCTTAAGAGAAAAGAGTCTGGAGGAAAAGCCAGAGACAAATATTTCTTAGACATCAGTCCCAATGAGCAGAGAAGTGAAGAGGGCTAGAGTTAGGGCAGGGATGCTCAGAAAAGGTAAGAGATACATCTGAGATGGAATTCAGGGAAACTGATACTTTACTAGTGAGGTGTGTGTGTGTGTGTGTGTGTGTGTGTGTGTGTGGTGATGGGGGGAGGCAGAAATAGCATGGTCCACCCTGAAGAGTGAAAGATTTGCTGGGGGCTTTTAGGCCACTGGGAATACCACAATTCCACAGCTACAAAAAATGGTAAGGGGAAGTCTGGGGAGGGGGGGTTGGAAGGGTAGGGAGGTGGAGAAAGATAGGTTTCAGAAGGAAGACAAAGGGGCGAGGGTTTGGGGGATAGATTAATCACTGACATGTGCATATATTTAGGATGTATGTTAGGACTGCCCCCTTCCTCCAAAAGAGGCAGCTTGCAAATTAAATGCAATATCAATAGGCTTATCAGAGTCTAGGCATCGTTTCTGAAGAACTGTCCTCAGTGGCCTAAGAGTTACCTCCAGGTGCGAGTGGCTGCCTAAAACTGCCAATAGAAATGAAGGTCCTGCGCAGCAAAATATTCATTCAACCACAGGGGCCACTCAGCGGGGTGTGGAGGCGGGGAAGGGGAGGAGTAAAGGCTGTTTACAAACTTGACGTACAGACGCAGCCCGACCCGTTAGGTTCTGAAATTCGGGGTTACCGTCTTGGGATCTGCAGGCGCTCTGATGCCCTTGGCTCAGGCACCCGGCTTATGCCCACACCCGCCGGCTGGAACCTTTCGAGGAACAGAAGGATTCCTGGGCTCCAGCCCTACCTAGGTCTGGAGGCAGAGATGACTCACCAGCACCCCCTCTGCCTTCGCCAAACTGCCGTCTCCGCCCACCCCAGTCTCCACGTCTGGCCACGGCTCTCTGCTGGGGGCTCAAGGGGCTCATCCTGATGCCCGCATCCCAGAGGCTTAGCCTGCCCGCTCCCAGTCTTCAGGTTTGCCTGGCTCCCCTCCGGACCCCTCCCTCCGCTGAGCGGCGGAGATGGATGCGACATCCCCACGGGGATCTCTGGACTCCCCGAACAGCAGCAGCAGCGCGTGGAGGGGCAGCCGAGCACCCCGGTAAGTATCCATGCCCCCACTTTAAAGGTGACAGTGGGTGTGGGGTTGCTTAGGGGAAGGCTAACGCATCACCGGGCGCCCTGCGCTAGGAGAGCCTGACCCGGGAAAGTTTCTGCGTCACACGCGCGTGGCAGCAACGTATGTCGCTTGAGAAAGTCAAGGCTGCTATCAGTCGGGCCAGAATCTTACTGCGGGTCCTCACATGTCACGGGGAGGGGACGGGGGTGGGGGGGACGATGCCGTGTAGGACCTCCTGAAGGGCAGGTTGGGCGGGGGGTTGTAAGCCTGGGGGATGGGGGGGGGGGGCAGGATACCAGCTTGGATCCCAGGCTAAGTCTATACTTTGCTGCGCAGAGAGGTGGCCGCTCCGCCCTCGCGCCCTCCCTCTCAAGGGAAACGTGCGCCGCAGGCTCCCTTTTCTGATTCTAGGGAAACTCCAAGGGGTGACAGAAGCCCCAAAAGAACTGACATCTCCGCATCTCCGGGCCCTCTCGCAATGTCTCTGCTTCTCCGAGCCACCCCACCACTAGGGTGCAGAGTCGGACTGCGCCGCACCCCACTACCCGTTTCCTCCCCAATTCAGCGTCCGAGGCAGGCACCGCCTTCTCCCCGCCCCCGAGCGCTGGGCCCACCCTTCCGTTCCAGGACGGGACCTGTTCCCTGTCAATCCGGTCAGCCTCAGGGCTCCTGGCGCGTGAAGAAAGGCCAGGGGAGAACGCGGGGACTCTAGATTACGCACCGCCCTCCGCGATGCACAGAGGGAACTCCCCGCACCCAAGCCTGGGGATCCTCTGCCCACACCCCCAACTCAAGACGCACCAATAAGGAGTCGGGCCCTCCCAACACTCAGCGGCTCCTGGGCGGCCGAGTGTAGGAACCAACTTCCAGCGCGCAGCTGAGCAGGGTTAGGACCCTAGAAAGCTCCCAAATTCCAGAACCCCGTGGGGGCGGACGCGTGCTCGCCTCTCGAGTGTCAGCGCACGCTCTGGGCTGGCCACCTCGGCCTCCAGGCGTCCAGCTCACACTCTGGGCCGGAGCAGAGACTCGCGCACTGAGGGTCTCGGGCTGGAGGGCAATGAAGCCTTCCCGCAGCGGGCGGGGGGAGAGGGGGCGCGCGCCCACTCACCATTCCGGAGCAGAGGCTGATGACCGCCGTGTGCTCGGACTTGGTATTGACGTGGCCTTTGTAGAAACAGTGCTTGAGTTCTGCTTCGTCCTCGGAATAAAACTTTGTCTGGTTCTCCTCGGGCGCCCCGAGGAGGGTGACAGTGAACTGTGGAGCGATAAATCCGGCCTGGGCGGTGAGATTAAATAGAAACTGCTGGCCGAAGGCGGAGAGGCGGTAATGCGCCCGGGAGGAGGTAGCGGAGGAAGAGGAGGAGGCGAAGGCAGGCCAGGGGTCAGAGGCAGAGTTAATGCTCCGTCGCCTTCTTTTGAAGTGCACGTTCGTGGGAAAGGGTTCTCCGAGAGCGTTCACTCGGACGGGAGACGCGATTTCGTATTCGCTCAGGGACTCTAATAATTTCACTGCAGAGAGAAGCAGAGACACATAACCAGTGATTTAGTTTTCCGCAAGTTTTAAATTAAAATAAAGGTGAGGGAGGGCTTTGTCCTGAGTGGCTTTCCAATGGGTTTTCTTTTCCCATTTGAATCAACCCCTTCACCCTCTCAGTCAGTGGACAAATATTTGCTGAGCACCTACTGTGTGCTAGGAAGAGCAGGGAAATGTGCAAGACGCTGAGGATACACCCTTAGGAGCCAGAAACACGAACAAGTCAAAAATATATAAAGTAATTTCAGATTCTGACGAATACCCGCAGGAAAATAAAGCATGCTGCTAGCCGTTGCCCCCAGTTACTGAGTTATGGTACTTTGGGGGACAGAGATTGGGGAAGGGAGAAAAGCAGGTTAAAAGCAAAGGGTGTGGGGGTAAGTTCCTTCCCCAGTGTCACTCTCTGGAAATTGGCTGGGAATGACCTAAAGAAGGGAGAGGCTGCAAAGCGGGAAATCATTCTTTCTAGGAAAAGGAAAGAGGCTTCCGCTGCGGGGTGCCCGCTCCCGGCGCGGAGGCTGGGGAGCCGGCGACAGGGGCAGAAAGGTCCCGGGGCCGGAGCCTCATTACCTTGCCTCGGGTGCAGCCTGTCCTTGCGCACGGCTGCCGCGGCGTCTGGGCTCGCCATCTCGGCCAGGTCCCGCACCAGGAGCGTTAGCAGTGTGGCCCAGGATACAAACTGCATGGTGCTCCTCACCCCTCCCCCGCTGCCCTCACCCCTCCCTCCTGCCCTCCTTGGCGGCGGCGACCCGAGGCAGCGGCCGCGTAGAGCGCGCGGAGGCCGGCGCCCGCCGCCAATGTGCGACTTTAGGAGTCGCTGAGGTCTCGCCGCGAGGGTCCCGTCCGCGCTCGGCTGAGCAATGCCGCCGCCTGCCGAGAGCTGAGCCGCTCGGGCCGCAGGAGCCGCAGGAGGAGCACTTGGAGGACTGCGGCTCCGCCGCTCGGCAGCATAATGTCCGGGGAACGTGCAGGAGAAAGCGCCGAACGTGCGCTCCGAGGCGCGGCGCGCGCCCTGTGCTGGCGCGGATAGCGGAGCGGCTTCTTGAATGGGGGGCGGAGGCGGGGGGGCCGCGGGTCCTCCGCCGCTCAAATACCCCGGGTGCCCGCCTCCAGGAGAGGGGAGGGGAAAGCGAGCTGAGTGCGGACCGCCTCCTTCCAGACGGCGGACGGTGCCTGCCCGGCCAGTGCGGGACTCCGGGGCTCCGGGCCTCCGGCTTCGGGAGGCGGCGGCCAGAGGCGCCGGGAGCGCGGAGGCTGCGGGTCGTGGTCTTGGCCGCCTCGTGGAGATGAGCTTTTCTGGGACTCCCCGCCCCGGGGGAGAGAGCTGATTGCGGGCTCTCTTTCCTGGCGCTCGCAGTCCCTCTCCGGGTCTCTCGGTCTCTCGTTTCCTCTGCCCTCTGGCCTCCCTGCTTTCCTTCCCCTTCCAATCTCCTCTCTCCTCCGCGCTCGCTGTCCAGGCCGCTCGGAATCGGCCTTCCTCCACCCCACCCCCTCCGTGGTCTCTCCTCCTCCTCCCACTGCGCCCCTCTAATTCCCCGTATTTCTCTTCTCTTTATCTCTCGTCTGTTCCCATCTTTTTGCTACAGTCCTCTTCCTCTTCTCTCCTCCCCGGTCTCCTCCTTCCTCTTCTCTTCTCCAAACCCTTTCTTTTTTGGTTTCTTGCAAGTGAAAGTGGCCCAGTGCAGAAGCGCCTTCCCTTAGTCTCTCAAGGGACGAGATTTGTTATCTAATCTAAGTGAGGAATTTTAGGGATGGGGTTCCTAATCTTTTTGGTGGTATATTTCAAATCCTTGGCCTCCTGAAAGTGTCGAAAAACTGTCTAGCTGTGATTTCCCTAGACTCTCGTCCCATTCTGAGAGGGCCCATGGCTTTCGGTCCCAAAAAAGGTTAAGAACCACTCCTGGCAGCCAGAGGGGGCGGGGACTTTGGCGCTCGGACTGCCCGGGTGGGGGAGGAGTTAGAGATATGGGGGTTGGGGGCGAATGCCAGAGGAGAGTCCTGGCCCCAGCGGGGAAGCACCAGTCCTAAGAGGGATTTCTCAATCACTTACGCACGCTTTCTGCCAGAGATGCTTCCAGCCCCCGCAAAGCTGACACTTCAACCTACACTTACTTCGCTCCGCCCTGGGATGCAACTTTGAAAGTCAGAAAGTAAGCCAGAGAGGGAGGACTCTGGTCTGTGAATGTGGGAGTCTGCGTGTAAATTGCCTAATCCCGGAGGGTTCAAAAGCGCTTTTTCCTTTACCAGTCCTCAGGAAGATGGGATGTGCTGATTTCAAGAGAAATGACAATTTTTGTAAAAGATATCACATGTGCATTTGCCCAAGTTTCCCAGAACCAGTTTCCTGTCCCTTAGTAGGCTGGCATCAGGGTTGAAAATACTTAAGATTGCCAACACCAGGGACCAAATAGCAATATGCTAGAAATGTCCACTATTCTGGAAATATTACTGCATATATTTCTCCTGGTAGAAGGAAAAATAACTTGGCAGGACTGGAATATCCTAAAGAAGTTGTTAGTCCAAATGGACTACTGTTGCCATTGTCCAATTGTATTCCTGAAATGTATAATTCCTGGGTGTATACAATGATGCATAAAGACGGTAAATAGTAACACCTGCACAGTACACAATAAGAGATTTTTAAGAGATGACATTTAAGTATTTGTCTTCAACCTTCATAGAAATTCACTAAAATACATTTCTTCTGCCCTAACGGGTTTGGCTCAGTGGATAGAGCATCGGCTTGCGGACTGAAGGGTCCCGGGTCAAGGGCATGTGCCTTGGTTGCGGGCACATCCCCATGAGGGCTGTGCAGGAGGCAGCTGATCAGTGTTTCTCTCTCATCGATGTTTCAAACTCTCTTTCCCTCTCCCTTTCTCTCTGTAAAAAATCAATAAAATATATTTTAAAAAATAAAATACATTTCTTCTAATACAAGATCTTCCTTCTCATTATCAATAAAATTCCTCACAATCACTGCTGGGGTCCTGTCCCAGCAGGTCCAGGGATCCACAAAGGTGTGGACGGAGTCAGCGAAGAAGGAATGACACGGAGACAGCGTTCAGTTGATCAGCAGCCTAGCCAGGATCTCTAGCCAGGATCTCCAGCCAGGTTCTGTTCAGGATCTCCAGCGAAGTTCTGGTTAGGATCTCCAGCCAGGTTCTGTGTCCATGTTCTCTCGCTAGGTTCTCCAACCAGGTTCTCCAGATTCTCCAGCCAGGTTCTGTAGCCATGTTCCCTCGCTAGGTTCTCCAGCCAGGTTCTGTCCAGGTTCTCCAGCCAGGTTCAGTCACCAGGTTCTATCCAGGTTCTGTAGCCAGGTTCTGTCTCTAGGTTCTTCAGCCAGGTTCTCTCGCTAGGTTCTGTCTCTAGGTTCTGTCTCCAGTTTCTGTCCAGGATCTTTTGCCGTGTTCTCTCCAGCGAAGTTCTTCTGTCTCTAGGTTCTGTGTCTATGTTCTGTGTCTATGTTCTGTCTCTTGTTGTCTTGTTACATCTGTATTTATACCAGTTGATTCCAATCCTATCAATCTCTATTCCAAAGGTTAGGGCGTTTATCTCCATTCCAGGGAGTAAAGATTATGTAGCTTAAGCATGATTGTTCGTAGTTAAAGTGATTAATTACCTGCCTGGCACTTAGTTAAGGGGTTTTATTCCCTCCCTAACTTAAGGGGAAAATCCCTACCTGGGGAAACAACCTTTCTCAGAGAGGTGACCTTGGTTAAAACACATAGTGCCAAGAAAGTGAGCAAACATATTAAGAACCGTATGCCATATATGCCAGGTCCCTTGAAACAGCAAGGATGGACCGGCTCCCGGCAAATCACAGCATCAGGGGATTGCTGAGAGTTTAGCAAGGAACAGAAAAATGTCAAGAAATCAAACTATTAGCTGATTCTCAGGGAAACTATTGTAGAACTCACACTATCAAATCGCTAAAATGTATAGCACTTTGATAGGCACTCAGGTGAATGGAACAGAATAGAGAACCCAGAAGTAAACCTATGCACACATGGTCAATTTATGACAAAAGAGCTGAGAATGTACGATGGGAAAAGGATAATCTCTTCAACAACTGGTTTTGAGAAAACGGGACAGCCACACACATGCAAAAGAAAGGAACTGGATTGCTTTCTTGCATCACACAAAAATGAGCTCAAAGTGGATTAGTGATTTGAACGTAAGACATGACATCATAAAACTAGAAGAAACATACGGGGTGATCTCCCTGACATCGGTCTTGGTGATGATACTTTGGATTTGACACCAACCAAAAACAAAGGCAACAAAAGCAAAAATGAGTGGGACTACATCAAACTGACAAGCTTCTGTGCAGCAAAAGAAACCAGCCACAAAACGAAAAGGCAACCTATGGAATGGAATAAAATATGTGCACGTCTCATATACCAGAGAAGGGGTTAATATCCAAAATATATAAAGAACTCGTATAACTCAGTACTAAAACACACACACACACACACACACACACACACACACACACACTGATTTAAAAAATGGAAAGAGGATCTGAATAAATGTTCTTTTTTCAAAGAAGACAATGCAAATCAAAACCACAATGAGATACTACCCCATACCTGTTAGAATGGCTTTTATCAAAAAGATGAAAAATAAGTGTTGCAAGGATGTGGAGAAAAGGGAACCTTTGTGCACTGTTGGTAACGGTATGGAAGTTTTGCAAAAAATTGAACTACCATATGATCAAGTAGTTCCACTTCTTGGTATTTATCCAAAGGAAATTAAAAAAACTTAACTCGAAAAGATACCTGCACCCTCATGTTCATTGCAACATTGCTTAAAATGCCCAAGGCATGGGATAACCTAAGTGTTCCTGAATGGATGAGTGGATAAAGAAAATATGGGATATATATATTATTCCATCATCAAAAATAAGGAAATGTTGGCCGGCCATCCTCAGTGGTTGAGTGTTGACCTATGAAATAGGAGGTCACAGGTTCTGTTTCTGGTTAGGGCACACGCCCTGGTTGCTGGCCCAATCCCCAGTAGAGGGCGTGCAGGAGGCAGCCAATCAACGATTCTCTCTCACTGATGTTTCTATCTCTCCCTCTCCCTTCCTCTCTGAAATCAATAAAAATATATTTAAATCAAATAAAGAAGGAAATCTTACCATCTATGACCACATGGAGGGACCCTTAAGGGCATTATGAAAAGTGAAATAAGTCATACAGATAATATACGATCTTATATGGAACCTAACAAATAAAAAATAAATGAACTGATAAAGAGAACAGACTGGTGGTTGCATGAGGTGGGGGTGGGCAAAATGGGTAAAGGTGGCCAAAAGGTACAAAATTCCAGTTATAAAATAAATAAGTCCTGGGGAATGTAATGTATAGCATGGTCACTGTAGTGAATAATATTCTATTGTAGATTGGAAAGTTGCTAAGAGAGTGGATCTTAAAAGATCTCATCACAGGAAATGAAAAATTTTGTTGATGATTTCACAATATATTCTTATATTGAATCATTATGTTGTACAGCCGAAACTAAAATAATGTTATATGTCAATTATACCACACTAAAAATTAAAGTTTATAAAGGATTAAAAGTAGCACTTTTCAATATTTCCTATTAAACAATTTTCCTCTATTTTCATTTAAACCACTCCTGATAAAGAGAAGCTAGTTCTTATATGTAGGGACAGAAGCCTTCTTTGTTTATTCTCTCATTAGCTTACTTTCTAGGATTTGGTTTTAAAGGATGAACTTTGTTTACTGTTGTTTAAAATTGCTGCTGATACAACCCAATCATTTCACAAGAGCTGAAGGGAAGGGAAATACAAAGTAGCTTTGGTGACCTTGGGAGGTGACCAAGAGGCACAGTTCCTGAATTTCTCATCGTCAGTCAGTCTATTAATCCTTTCTCAAGTATATTATCTTGCCTCTGAATTTACAGCTGTACACAAGTCTCAAGGAATCTTAGGAAGATGTTTGAAATCATAAGACATGAGTAGAACAATTGAGCTATCTAAATAATTCAAATTTAAGATATTTTATAGGAATAATAATAGTTAAAATAATCAAATTTTATCTAGTACTTACCTTATGCCAGACTGCATGCTAATATAAGCATGAAATGTAATTCTTACAACAGGTCTATGAGCAGGTGTATCAGTAACTTCATGTTACAGATAAGGATTTTATGGTCTAAAGATGTGAAATAATTTGACAGGGGTCCCCCAACTACTAGTAAGTGAGAGACATAATTCAACTTCTGTTCCAGCAGCTGAGTTCAAGTTCACAATTATTATATCACATATAATGAATAAATGATCAGAAGGTTGCTGGGTTTGGGGAGGTTTGGTTTGGGGGAGGGTGGCTAAATTACCTACAGAATTGCAAGATAATATACTTGAGAAAGGATTAATAGACTGACTGACGATGAGAAATTCAGAAACTGTGCCTC